ATTTGCTACACGGTGAGGAAAATTTGCGAATCAGTTCCGTAAAATTTACGGTACCGTTTGTTTTTTATCCATTATTTGAACTCACGACGTCTGGCATGTCAGGCAAGGATCTTACCACGGGTTTGTTATTGTTATTGAGTAGATCGACACACACCCTGCCGATGGGACAACCGGGCTCCCGAGGTCACGTCTTCAGAACCCTAAAAAATGCGGTTCCAGTCACATTAAATTTACGTGCAATTGAGTGATCTTTACGTTCTTCGATGTACTTTTTACTTAAAATACCGGTTTTACGAGTTCAGGAAAAAAATAGGTGAGTGTACCGTTTTTGGGCTTGATGTTGCGGTGGAACAATTTTTTTCAGAATCGAATATATTTCATCGATCAACAAAAATCATAGCGTTGAATTATCGTTTTTCATTCTTCTTTTTGATTTTTGATAGCATTTCTAGCGTTCAATTGCCGTTGAGCCCCTTCAGGATCGAAATAAGGATCGACGGTGGGTTCGAAAGCAATCGGATCAGGAGTTTCGATCTTCTCTTTATTTTTTACCTCAGCTTCCTCCGGAATTTCGTCATCAGCGGTTTTACATTCTTTCTCTTTATATCGAGGTACGCGGGGTAGTCTCTTCCCATAAGGCTGAAAGAATCATTTTTAGAAATTAAAACTAGAACTGAGCTACGCCCGTATTGACAGTCTTCGGGTGTCCGTTAGCTTAGAATGTTTACTATAATATTTACTCATTATTATTTATTCCCTGCGCCGACAGAAACATTTAGTAAAAATTACGGAACTTTCAGTTCGCTTACCGATTACGGAATCGACTGGAAAAATTCAGGTGACGGTATCATAATTTTTCACAGATAATTTCGATAAAAAGACGTGACAGTTCCATTAAAAATTTCCTACAACCATATTTCGCTGCAGAATTACGGGAAAGACACCAAATTTTTACTATAATTGTTGTTCCTCTATAAAAAAAAATCCTAAACAAAATGTTAGGGCACCATCGAATGTAGCGATCTCAGTAATTTTCCTGTTATTTGTCTCTCTATGTCAGTTTTTCCGGAATATTTTTACTCACTGGTATAGGAATTATCGGCTGGCGATATTTATTGAGTTTTCTTGGCGGTCGTTTTTCAACAGGCTCTCGAGGATTACTTGGTTTAGCGAGTTCTGTGACCCGCGCAGAAACAGGACTCGTCAGAGCGGATTTCTTCACGTCAAAGGGTTTCTTCCGAGTGACCGTGTCCTTGTGGACATGAGGTTTCGCAAGTTCCGTCATTCGTGGAGACCCTAGAAAAGAAAATTAAACATAAGAATTTTTTTTTTAATGCAATTTGTATCGGAATTCTACAGGAAAAATCTCTTGGCATCGAAGGTAATTTAGGATTCATCTCACCGGAGTAATTCAGGGCTGATTCCTTAACCTTCAGAGGATCTCCATCTTTCCAGGGTGGAGGCTCGAACCTCCAGGCGTTTCTCTTCGCTCGTTTTTTCCTGGACTCTTCATCGTCAGCTAGTGGAGTTGGTCTTGGGATGAATCTCGTCTGTTTTGGTCTAGCCTCTGTCTTCGGTTTAGCTATTTTCTGGGTGTCTAGCTTTTCTTTTTCTTCTTCTATCTTAGGAGCTTCTGGAACGGGTTCAGGTGCTTGCTCCACCATTTCTTTCACTTCTGCATTGTTGTTCACCACTTCAGCTTCTCCGTCGACTTCTAGAGCTTCAGCGCCATCTTCTTGCGTCTGTTCTTCGATTTCTGGTGCTGGTGCTTCAGGTTCTGGTGCTGATGCTTCGGGTTCTGGTGCTGATGCTTCGGGTTCTGGTGCTGATGCTTCGGGTTGTGGCTCAACTGGAGTTTCTTCCTGTTCACGATTGGCTGCTGCTTCTTCCTCCAATTTTCGGAGTTTTTCTGCTCGTTGGAATTGCTCCTCGAGGGCCTGCTTCCCTCGAGTTTCTATTTCACTGAGGTAGAGCTCTTTAAATTTCTTCGCGTCGTCATCTTTCCTCAATCTCAGGAAGCGGTAAGAAGGAAGTGATAGGAAGTTCATCCAAGGAGTAGCCTGCGGGAAAATGAGAGCACCTCAATTTCTACATAAATTTTATCCAGTGATCTTCGGGGAAACAAAAAACCGCTGAAATCCAAAGAGA